TCAGTATGTCGTCGAGATACAAGATGGCGCACTAATCTAAAAGCAAGCGAAAGGCTTCGTTCATGGTCATTTGAAAAGTGGCGGGGGCATTGGTTAGTCCGAAGGGCATGACGGTGTATTCGAAGGATCCGTAGCGTGTTCGGAAAGCTGTTTTCGGGTAGTCGGGTGGGTTGACGCGGATCCGGTGGTAACCTCTTCGAAGGTCGATTTTCGAGAAAACCCGGGCTGTGCGCAGTTGGTCGATCAGTTCGTCGGCTCGCGGGATGGGGTAACGGGACTTGATGGTAACCCTGTTCAGTGCGCGGTAATCGATGCACATGCGAAAACCCCCGTCCTTCTTTGGTGTGAACAGTATCGGTGCTGCGAAGGGTGACGAACTCGGGCGAATGAACTCCTTCTCGAGCAGGTAATCCAGCTGCTTCCTTAGTTCGTGCAGTTTTGGTTGGGTCGATCGGAATTGTCGCTGTACTGTCGGCTGTGCCCCCGGTTCTAATTCTATCCTGTGGTCGTGCGGTCGCTGAGGTGGCACTCCTGTCGGCAGGTCATCTGGGAAAATCACACTGTATTGCTTCAGTAGCGCTGCCAAGTCATCCGGTACGTCCGCTAGCAGTTTCTGTAACCCCCCCCCCCCCCCCCCCCCCCCCCCCCCCCTTGTCTGCCGCCTCGGCTTCCCGAATGTCGACGGCGTACACGTCAGCTCCTGCCGCTACGGCGCGTTTCATCGTTATTGCATTGACACGCTCCAACGACGACTCAGGCGAGCCCCAGCGAGGTAAGGCGATGTTATTACCGTTCACTCGCACGGTGCAGTCACCTGTCGTCCAGTCGATTCGCGGATTGTGTCGTCGCAACCAATCACTGCCGAATAAAATGTCGGTTCCATCGAGGGTTGTCGCGAGCATTTCCTGACTAAACGTAAAGTTACCCCCGCGTCGAATCCGAACCCGGTTCACGCATTCCCGTATCGCCAGTGGCGTGCCGTCGACCAGTCTTACGTCGATCTCAGGTAAACACCTGTCCAGTGGCAGTTTCATTTTCCGTGCTGTTGCAATGTTGATCAGGCTGTGACTGGCTCCCCCGTCTACAATTATTTTAACTAAGTCTGTCCCAATTTTCCCACTAAGCAGTATAGGGCTGTCTACCGTGGTACCCTCCTTATTCGGCCGGGAGTGGTCGATTGCGTGAACCGGCACAATCACTCGGTGAGGGTCGGTTGGGTCGGGCGAGCGGCGTGACCTGTCAGTAGAGGGCCCGTCTGCTACTGACTCCCAGCGTTTCCCTGCTGCTTGGTCTTTTTCTACTGCCCAGCTTCCCCCTTTCCCTTAGCGTTTTCCGGGCATTCGCTTTTCGGTGTCCCGGCCGATTGCACGCGAAGCATGTCAGAATGTGTAGTTTGTCTAGCCTGCAGTGGGGTACTCTATAGTGAGTACGGCCCCTTAGGGTTTCCCATATGTATCCACCTGCTTGCTAGTGCAAATCCTCCTTTGCCTATTTTCTCTTGCCTAGCTAGCTAAACCCTAGCTATGGCTCCTCGTTCTGCCTGCTATTGTGACATGGTATTAAGAGCTCGTTCGATCCTAACCTGTGGGCCCACCCTAAGCTTCCGCTGCTTTCGTGTCTGTCGCGCGCCCCGTGGCGCGCGGCGCTTTTTTCTTCCCGCCACGCGCTCTGGGCGCGCGGCGGTTTTCTGCCCGCCGTGCGCCCCGAGGCGCGCGGCGGTTTACTGCCTCACGCGGCGCCCTGGGGGCCTGCGCGCTGCCCTGCCCGTCGCCCGTCGCGGTGCCCTAGGGGTCCGCGCGTCGCCCTGCCCGTCGCCCGTCGCGGAGCCCTGGGGGCTCGCGCGTCGCCCCTCCATCCCGTCGCCCGTCGCGGGGCCCTGGGGGGCTGTGCGTCGCCCTGCCCGTCGCCCGTCGCGACGCCCTGGGGGCCAGCGCGTCGCCCCCCCCTCCCGTCGCCCGTCGCGGCGCCCTAGGGGGCCGCGCGTTGCCCCTCCCGTCGCCCGTCGCGGCGCCCTGGGGGGGCGCGCGTCACCCCTCCCGTCGCCCGTCGCGGCGCCCTGGGGGGGCCGCGCGTCGCCCCCTTCCGTCGCTCGTCGAGGCGCCCTGGGAGCCCGCGCGCCGCCCCGCTTCCGCTCACACGCCGCCCCAGCTGCTGCCCGCGTTTCTGCCCTGCGTTGGGGGTATGGGGGTGGCGGGTGTGTGAACTGTCCCCTCCTCCTCCTCCTCCGTCTCCCACTGCTGCAGCTGCCGCTGAGGGGGGTGGGCGTGTAGGAGCCGAAGGAGTGGTGCTAGGGGGGTGTCGTGGGAGTGAAGCTAGGGGTGCAGCAGGGGGTGTGAATGGGAGTTTTGGGGCAAAGGGGGAGGTTGAAGGGGGGTGGCCACCGTGAAGCCAGCAGCTCCAATCGCCCGTGAGAGCGTTGCGCCAGTCGCCCGTGAGCCCGTCGCTCCAGTTGCCCGTGAGCCCGTTGCTCCAGTCGCCCGAGAGTCAGTTGCTCCTGCCGCTCGTCTAGCCGCGGAGCCAGTTACTCCAGTTGCCCGTGTGCCAGTTGCTCCAGTTGCCAGTGTGCCAGTTGCTCCAGTTGCCCGTGTGCCAGTTGCTCCAGTTGCGCCGTGTGCCAGCAGCTTCAGCTGCCGCCCACTACCTCCTCTCCTCTCATAGTCCCTCCTCCTCCACACTTGCCCTCTGTGATAGCTTCTAGCTTTGCTTATATTTGTGAACTATAAACTGCTGCTTGTTGTGCTGATCATACCCCACTTTGACTATGGGGGTGTGTCGGAATATGTAGTTTGTCTAGCCTGCAGTGGGGTACTCTATAGTGAGTACGGCCCCTTAGGGTTTCCCATATATATCCACCTGCTTGCTAGTGCAAATCCTCCTTTGCCTATTTTCTCTTGCCTAGCTAGCTAAACCCTAGCTATGGCTCCTCGTTCTGCCTGCTATTGTGACAAAGCAGCACCCTTTAAACGGTGCGGCAGTGGCATTTGTGGCGACGGCACGTATCGTAGCGCCCTCGTTCGTCCCACGAGATCGATGTCCCCGGTTGTTGCTACTTCGGTAGGACCCCGGTCTCGGTCGGCGAAAGAAATCGAGTTTCTCCGCCATAGCGAGAATCTCATGAAAATCGGTGATGCCACGGAGAAGGATTTCCTGAGCGATGTCGGGCTTCATGCCGCATATGTAGCGGTCGATGCGCTCAGACTCGTGCATGTAGCCCACCTGCTCACACAACGCCAGAAACCTGCTGGTATAATCTTGGCGGAACCGAGTTGGCGCCAAGTGCGAAGCTTCTGACGCGCCGCGATCGAAGCCGCAATTGGCTCAAATCGGGCACGCAGACCTGCGCACCACGCGTCCCACGTGCGATATTGGGGCACCTCCACGAAATAAGACGGCGCCCAAGGTCCGGTTTGTCCTTCCCGTGTCGGTAGAGTCGCGTAGTCCATCGGCTTCGTGACGATGACACGCCGCCAATCCATGGCGGGTCCTCGCAGCAGCGACACGGCGTAGCGGATTTTCGTCGTATCCTCCGAGACGTAGTTGGCGTCGAAGAAAACGTTCAACGTGAACAGCCACGCCTGAACGGTAGGACCACCTCGTTGACTTGGGTCAAAGCATGGCGGATGCTGCAGCTTCAGCGGCATCGGCGACGTCAGTGTCGATTCGCTGGCCGGCACAGAATTCGTGACGCGGGGTTGACTCCTAGCTGCATTCGTCCCTTCAGGGTGTGACGTGCCGTGGTCGTCGTCTCCGTCGTTGCGGACGACGCCATCACTGGCCGCGCTCGCGGGTTGCTCCACACTTCCGTGCTGCGATGTATTTTGTGCAGGTTGTACCGGAGTGCCAGGTGCTTGTGATTGTGCTTGATGTGCTCGTGCGACGTCATTCTGCAGGGATGTGCGTTCTGCCGTCATCGCCGCGATTTCTTCAGAGCTTTCGCGAAGTTGTCGCAGCAGTTCGTTCAAATGCGCCTGCGTGAGCGTAGTGACGTCGATGTGTTCGGCCATGTCGAAGGGCGTCGGCTCAGCTTAGTCTAGGCGCAGTCGTGGCTGCACACGTTTACGAGAGAACGCGAGGACAGTGGCTCCTAGTGCTAAGGGGCGTGAGTCCCTTCAAGTGAAAAAAAAATCAAAAGTTGATTTCCTGGGGTGCGGAGATGCGCGGTCCGAAAGAAAGTGGCTCTGATAACCAAGTGTTACGGGTGCAATGAATCGAGGTAGCGAGGATTGCACTAGAGTGTTCAACGACTACAAAAAATGAGCTAAGGCATGAGCGAATACTTATACGCGAAACATGCAAACGGTAACGCGGTGCGTGCGAGCTAGCTAGTGCTACGCTGGCGCGAGGTTCGGGCTAGTCCCGAAGCGTAGGCCGACTCGGTTGCTCCAGCAGTGCAAGGTTTGGTGAAACAGTGTGCGCGAAGTTGGCGAAGCCCCGTTAGCAGTAACGGTCGAACAACGGTTGCGGCAGTACCCGATGTTGACAAGCAATAGCAAGAAACTTCCTTACATATACACTCTCCACCTTCACTCCACCCCAAAAGAAAGGACCACTTCACTCCCGTAACGACCAGGGCTTCGCCTAGACTTGCGCGACAACCGTTTTCTTCGCGTCATCGTCGCCACGCCCCATCTTCATATTTTGGTTCTCGCACGTGCAAGAGTGTTTTACCGAGCTCAACCATTTTTTCAGATTTCTGTACCCCTGCTCACCTTGCCTTCCAGCCCCTTCGGAAGAGTCACCCCAAATCCACGTCAATTTCGTACCACGCGTTGAGCGAACATCGCAGCACCTCCGCTGCCCGTCGCGAGACAGTACAGTACAGACGCGAGATCGCGAAGTGCGGGAACGGTTTGTCATCGGAACGGAACATGGACATGCAATTACATCTGAAATTGTTTTTGTAAGATCGCTGTACCTCCACGTACGTTGTTAGCGCGTCTCTCCCTAGAGGACTTTTCTACTTATTCCTGCTGGTTGTGAAGCTGCCACGCGAGCATCGAATGCCACGTGGCCCTCACTCCCCTCCACTTCCAATCCCTCCTGCCTTCCCCCACCCCACCACCGCCCGTGTCTGTGCTTGTATCTATTTATTGCTCACCGCACCATCAGTATCCGTTTTTCGTTTTGCAGTCGCCTGTCGCTTCTTCACTTCGCCTTGACATCGCGACATTCCCAAGGCATGCGATCGCACCTCCTCGTTCTTCTCTCCGCGTAGCACCCCATTCACCTCCCTTTTTCTGCGCGCGCCACTCGCTTCCCGCCCCCCGCCATGAGTCTTTCCGCCGCCCTCCGCCCCTCGCACACACTCGCCTCTCCCCGCCTCTCGCCCCGCTCCCCCGCCTGCGCGTCCGCGTCTCGGCCATCTTGGCGATCAACCGGCGCGTCGCAATGCCCATCGTCAGCGTTGCGAAGCTCGTTTGCGAATGGCGAAGAGCTAAAGCGACGAACTTCGCTGGGTCAATTGCCGCAAAGTCGCAGGCCGCATCGCCAAGCCGCCAGGGTCCGTATCTCCTTCTCTCCTTCCGCACCTGCCCCCCCTCGCCGCGTCCCTTGCGCAATTGCCACCATTGCGTCGCGCCGCGCGCTGTCCTCTCCATCCCCCTCCCCTCCCCATCCCCACTCTTCTCCCTGTTCCCACTCTTCTCCCCATCCTCCCTCTCCTCCCAATCCTTCTTCTCCTCCCCATTCCACCTCTCCTCCCCATCCCGCACCAGGCCGCGGCGGCGGGCGCGGGGGCGGCAGCGCCAGGAGGCGGTGAGGGGGCGGCGGGGGGCAGCCCGGCGGGGGCGGGGCTGGCGGAGCGGGTGGTGGCGTTTCAGCGCGCGTTCTGGAAATTCCTCCGCCCGCACACCATCCGCGGCACCGTGCTCGGCACCTCGTGAGCGCGCGGGCGGGAAAGGAAGGGGGAAGGGTTGGCTGGTGAGAAGGGGGGGGGGAGGGTTGGAGGGGGTGATGGGGGGTGGGGAATGGGGGGATGGGGTGGGGAGGGCCTGGGCAGGGAGGAGATAGGGAAGCGGCAAAGCGGAGAGCACGCGCGGAGCTGGCTGGAGAGGGCTGGGAATGAATGAGAGCTGGGTGCAGAGCGGTGGGCGAGTGAGGGGGCGGGGTACGGGCACGTGGCATTGCGAAGAGGCAGAAGGTCAGGCGAGCGGCAGAGGGAATGCGCGCACGAGGCGCAGGCGCAGGCGCATGGCCGCTGCTGGCCCACTGCGTGTGCGCGCCCCCCCTTGTGGCATGCGCGCATGTATGGCGCCGCCCCGCTCGCACACCCTGCCATGCCATACCCACCTCCCAGCACCCGTTTTCCCCCTTTCCCCACACCCACACCCCACTCACCTCTTCTCCTCGCCCCCTTACGAACAACAACCCCCCACCACCCCACCCCCCCTCTCTTCCCCCCTCCCTCCTCCTCCTCCCCCCCCTCCCCCCCCTCAGCGCGGTGGTGGCGCGCGCGCTGCTGGAGAGCCCGCAGGCGATCGACTGGGGGCTCATGCGCGCCCAACAACCCCTTTCCGCCTTTCCCCCCCCATCCCCAACAACCCCCCCCACCCTCCCCAGCGCGGTGGTGGCGCGTGCGCTGCTGGAGAGCCCACAGGCGATCGACTGGGGGCTGATGCCGCGCGCGCTGAGAGGGCTGCTGGCGCTGCTGTGCGGTAACGGGTACATCGTGGGCATCAACCAGATCTATGACACCGACATTGACAGGTGTGTGCTGGCATTGACAGGTAGGTCAATGGAGTCAACGCTAGTCAACGGTGCGGGCATCAACCACATCTACGACACTGACATTGACAGGTGCGTGCTGGCAGTGATAGGTAGGTCAATGGAGTCAACGCTGGTCAACGGGTACATTGTGGGCATCAACCGGATCTACGACACTGACATTGACAGGTGTTTGCTGGCAGTGACAGGTAGGTCAATGGAGTCAACGCTGGTGCCAGGCGGGATGAGGGGCGAGTGGCAGGAAGGCAGAGGTCCATGCAGGCATGAGGGGTTCAGAGGCAAGCTCCGTGCCCCCTGCCTTCATGAGAGGGGGAACAAGTCATTCCTCCTCCCCGTGCCAGCAGGCGAGCTGTCCCCCAGCACTCCTCATACCCCGCCCTTTCCCCTTACTCTTCCCCCTTCCCGCCCTCACCCCTCAGTTTGAACCAGCCCTTCCTCCCAGTGGCAGCAGGCGAGCTCTCCCCCAACCTTGCCGCACACTCCTTCCTTTCCCCTTCCCCTTCCCCTTTCCCTTTCCTTTCTCCCTCCCTCCTCTCCTCCCCCCATTGTCCCTCCCCCACCCTTCAGGGTGAACAAACCGTTCCTCCCAGTGGCAGCAGGCGAGCTTTCCCCCACGCTCGCCGCGCTCCTCTGCCTGCTGCTCTCAGCTGGTGGCCTGGCGATCGTAGTGCTCAATTTCGGCCGCCTCATCACGGGGCTCTACACTCTGGGGCTGCTGCTTGGGACGGTCTACTCTACTCCCTCCTTTCCCCTTGCTCTTCCCCATTCCCCCTTCCCCCTTCCTCCTTCCCCTTCCCCCATTGTCCCTCCCCCACCCTTCAGGGTGAACAAACCGTTCCTCCCAGTGGCAGCAGGCGAGCTCTCCCCCACGCTCGCCGCGCTCCTCTGCCTGCTGCTCTCAGCAGGCGGCCTGGCAATAGTAGCGCTCAACTTTGGGCGGCTGATAACGGGGCTGTACGCGCTGGGGCTGCTGCTGGGGACCGTCTACTCGGTGCCGCCGCTGCGCCTCAAGCAATACCCGCTGCCCGCCTTCCTCATCATCGCCACAGTGAGCCTACCACCCACCCAATTCCTTTCCCCCAAACCACCCCCAACCTTGTTTTAACTCTCCCTCACCTTCCACCCACCCTTCCCCCCACCTCTCCCCCACCTTCCCCCCACCTCTCCCTCACCTTTCCCCCACCTCTCCCTCACCTTCCCCCCACCTCTCCCTCACCTTCCCCCCACCTCTCCCTCACCTTCCCCCCACCTCTCCCCCTCGTTCCTCCACGCGCTGCCCCCAGGTGCGCGGGTTCCTGCTCAACTTCGGCGTGTACTATGCCACGCGCGCTGCACTCGGCCTGCCCTTCGCCTGGAGGTGCGTCAGCAGCATGGGTGGGGGGGGGGGGAGGGGAGGGGGAGGGTAGGGGGGAGAGGGGAGGGGTGAATGGTGGTGGGGTTGGCCGTTGGAGGGGAAATGGGGTGGGGTGGGGCTGCTTTGAGCTCGCTGTGATGCGGAGTGGCACACAGCACAGCCATTGAATTCAACCCTGCCCTGCCCTTGCCTTCCCTTCCCACCGCCCTGCCTCCCACACGCCATGCTCCGTGCGTGCACTGTGTGCATGTGCCGCCCACTGCCCATCCATCGTGTTCCTCATGGGCTCTCACTCACCTCTCCGTCCCCTTCCACCGCCCTGCCTGCCTGCCTGCCCACCCGCCGCCCACAGCCCATCGATAGTGTTCATAACGTGCTTCGTGACGCTGTTCGCCACCGTCATCGCCATCACCAAGGACCTGCCTGACATCGAGGGCGACAGGCAGTGAGTATGCCTTTTGTGTGTGTGTGTGTGTGTGTGTGTGTGTGTGTGTGTGTGTGTGTGTGTGTGTGTGTGAGTGTGTGTGAGTGTTTGTACCTTTTCCGGGCTCAAATCCTGTTGCATGGTTCCCTGTGTTCTCGGAAGCTTGTACCATCAATCTGCATGTCTCATGCCTGTACATCCATCGCACACCCGCACCCTCTGCTTGCCCCCCTGTGCCGCGCATGGCAGGTTCAAGATAGAGACGTTTGCCACGCGACTGGGGGTGCGCAACATCGCCTTCCTGGGCTCAGGGCTGTTGCTCGCCAATTACTGTGGCGCCGTCGCTGCCGCCCTGCTACTGCCACATGTGAGCACCACTGGTCACTGCCATGCCTGGGTGTTGCTGGGTGTGGCTGGGTGTGGCTGGGTGTGACTGGGTGTGACTGGGTGTGGCTGGGTGTGGCTGGGTGTGACTGGGTGTGACTGGGTGTGACTGGGTGTGGCTGGGTGTGGCTGGGTGTGACTGGGTGTGGCTGGGCATGGCTGGGCGTGCCTGGGGGCCCTTGATACCAGGACTGGCCGTGCGTTGGTGTGGTTTGGTCTCTTGGTCTCTTGGCAAGAGAGAGGCATCCCATTGCTGGTCACTTGTGAGACGTCTCAAAAGGCGTGCCTGGGGGCCCTTGATACCAGGACTGGCCGTGCGTTGGTATGGTTTGGTCTCTTGGTCTCTTGGCAAGAGAGAGGCATCCCTTTGCTGGTCACTTGTCTCCTGCGGGGACTCTATCATGCTCCCTCTGCCCCCTGCCCCCCTCCCTCCCTCCCTGTGCCCCCACCAGGCGTTTCGCCAGGCTGTCATGATTCCCGCCCACCTGCTCCTCGCTGCTGCTCTCGTCTACCAGGTGAGGTGGCCTGTGCCATGTATGCCATATGCCATGCACCATGCACCATGCTCCGTGCACCATGCTCCATACACCATGCATGCACCATACTGCATGCACCGTGCTCCATGTGCCATGTGCTCTGCTCTCTGCTCCACCCGTATCTGCTGTGTGTGCTCCATTGCTCCTGGTGATGTGATCAAACACACTGTTTTTCCACTCTCTCTGATTCGCTGCTACATTTCAATGTGCTGCTCGTTCTGCCTCTTGTGCCCATTGCTGCAGACATGGAAATTGGACGCAGCAGCCTACACCAAGGTGAGTACCACTCACACTCATCTCATTGTGTTGTTGCACTGCTTTCAGTTTCAGCACTTGTTATTCTCCCAGCCGTCATCGCTGTTGACTCTGCTGCAATCACTGCATTCCCTTGTCTTCAACCGCACACCCCTCTTTGTGCCCCTCTCCCTGCCCAATGTCACTCACCTCCAGGATGCCATTGCATGCTTCTACCAGTTCATTTGGAACCTCTTCTATCTCGAATACTGCTTGCTGCCAATCATCTAGTGCACACGTAACCAATCCAACTTAGGAAGCCCCGCCCCAGCTTCCTTCTGACGTCTTATCAATCCCTCAAGCGTGGTCCCTGGTTAGTGTAGTCGTCCAGGAAGGAAGGCGTAGAGAATGAAATAAATAGTTAATGGCATGTTGTTTATTATTTTGTTTAGATCTGCGCTGGATTCTAGTGAAATCATGTTCTCGAATTTGCCCTAGTGCCCTACAGTTGGCGATAGTTATTGGGTGACGGTGATTATCGGGAATAGGTCGTCTCAAGAATGGAAATCACCCAACAGAATGGGGAATGAAGCAAACCACTCTGCTGTCAGGGCGTGAGTGATCCACGATTGGCTCGCGACAGAATCCATGCTGAGTCGTTTCCATCACTCAGCGAAGCTTTAGAATCTCGTCGTCTAATCGCTTTGCCGTTTACAACACTGGTGAACGACTGGACTGGACTGGCTATTCGCCAGCGGCTTTTCCAAGCAGTGTCGCATCCCACCCAAGGCCGTCCCCAAGAGTACTGTTTCTGACAACTGTCAGCCTCAGGAACAGCTCCTGTACTGGCATGTCATCCAAACCTAGCTCCTGCATCCCTAGCTTAGACCGGACTTAGTGGAGAAACTGTGGGCCAAGAGTACATAGTGGTGATTAAAGACAGACAAGAAAGGGCCAGCATTCCATTCCGTAGTTCGTTCTGCTGTGTGTGTGTGCATGAATGTGTGTGTGTGCATGAATGCGTGTGTGTGCATGAATGCGTGTGTGAGCATGAATGTGTGTGTGTGCATGAATGCGTGTGTGTGCATGAATGCGTGTGTGTGCATGAATGCGTGTGTGTGCATGAATGCGTGTGTGTGCATGAATGCGTGTGTGTGCATGAATGCGTGTGTGTGCATGAATGCGTGTGTGTGCATGAATGCGTGTGTGTGCATGAATGCGTGTGTGTGCATGAATGCGTGTGTGAGCATGAATGTGTGTGTGTGCATGAATGCGTGTGTGTGCATGAATGCGTGTGTGTGCATGAATGCGTGTGTGTGCATGAATGCGTGTGTGTGCATGAATGCGTGTGTGTGCATGAATGCGTGTGTGTGCATGAATGCGTGTGTGTGCATGAATGCGTGTGTGTGCATGAATGCGTGTGTGTGCATGAATGCGTGTGTGTGCATGAATGCGTGTGTGAGCATGAATGCGTGTGTGTGCATGAATGCGTGTGTGAGCATGAATGCGTATGTGTGCATGAATGCGTGTGTGTGCATGAATGCGTGTGTGTGCATGAATGCGTGTGTGTGCATGAATGCGTGTGTGAGCATGAATGCGTGTGTGTGCATGAATGCGTGTGTGTGCATGAATGCGTGTGTGAGCATGAATGCGTGTGTGTGCATGAATGCGTGTGTGTGCATGAATGCGTGTGTGTGCATGAATGCGTGTGTGAGCATGAATGCGTGTGTGTGCATGAATGCGTGTGTGTGCATGAATGCGTGTGTGAGCATGAATGCGTGTGTGTGCATGAATGCGTGTGTGTGCATGAATGCGTGTGTGTGCATGAATGCATGTGTGTGCATGAATGCGTGTGTGTGCATGAATGCGTGTGTGTGCATGAATGCGTGTGTGTGCATGAATGCGTGTGTGTGCATGATGTCAAACATATGTGTATTTTTGTTATAGTTTGGTTAGGCTTAGTGGGGTACTCACTGTGGGGTACAACCCCTTAGGTTTCTCCTTTGTATCTTCTCCCTTCGATAGTCGACACACAACTTTCCCGTAAGATTCTTACGTGGTATTAAGAGCTAGGACGTTCCTAGCCTAGGACGAATTTTTTTTTAGGGCCCACCGTTAAACCTTCCGTGTTCCTGCCCGAATCTCGTTCTCTGCTTTTTTCTGCCCGAAATGCGCCCTTAGGTGCATCGATTTTCGCTGCCCCGCGGCCCTGCCCTGTCCTGTCGCGCGTAGCCAGCGAGCAGCCCGTACAGCCCCCGTCTGGCCTTCGCGCCGCCCGTACAGCCCGCGCCACGCCCGCGCGCGGCCCGTATAGCCTACGTTAGGCCAGCGCGCGGCCCGTACAGTCAGCGCTAGGCGTTAGCGCAGCCCGTACAGGCCAAGTCAGGCCCGAGAGCGGCCCGTACAGTCCGCGCTAGACATTCGCGCAGCCCGTACAGGCCACGTCAGGCCCGCGCGCGGCCAGTACAGCCCACGCCAGGCCTACACGCTGCACTGCGCCTGTGTTGCTGCTCTACCACTGCTTCTACTTGCTGCCGCTGCTGCTACTTGCTGCAGCCGCCCCTGCAGCAGCTGCCCCCTGGCCCCTGAAGCAGCCGCCCCTGGTGCAGCCGCCCCTGGACCCTCGAGCAGCCGCCCCTGGACCCAGAGCAGCCGCCCCTGGCCCCTGCAGCAGCCGCCCCTGGAGCAGCCGCCCCTGGACCCAGAGCAGCCGCCCCTGGCCCCTGCAGCAGCCGCCCCTTGAGCAGCCGCCCCTGGACCCAGAGCAGCCGCCCCTGGCCCCTGAAGCAGCCGCCCCTGGTGCAGCCGCCCCTGGATCCTCGAGCAGCCGCCCCTGGACCCAGAGCAGCCGCCCCTGGCCCCTGCAGCAGCCGCCCCTCGAGCAGCCGCCCCTGGACCCAGAGCAGCCGCCCCTGGCCCCTGAAGCAGCCGCCCCTGGTGCAGCCGCCCCTGGACCCTCGAGCAGCCGCCCCTGGACCCAGAGCAGCCGCCCCTGGCCCCTGCAGCAGCCGCCCCTCGAGCAGCCGCCCCTGGACCCCGAGCAGCCGCCCCTGGCCCCTGAAGCAGCCGCCCCTGGTGCAGCCGCCCCTGGACCCTCGAGCAGCCGCCCCTGGACCCAGAGAAGCCGCCCCTGGCCCCTGCAGCAGCCGCCCCTGGACCCCGAGCAGCTGCCCCTGGCCTCTGAAGCAGCCGCCCCTGGTGCAGCCGCCCCTGGACCCTCGAGCAGCCGCCCCTGGACCCAGAGCAGCCGCCCCTGGCCCCTGAAGCAGCCGCCCCTGGTGCAGCCGCCCCTGGACCCAGAGCAGCCGCCCCTGGTGCAGCCGCCCCTGGATCCCGCGACGCCGCCCCTGGACCCGCGACGCCGCCCCTGGACCCCGTGCAGCCGCCCGCCGAGCGCCGGCCCTGCTCGCCCGGCGAGCGCCTGCTCTACCCGACACTGGTGAGCACCTGCCTTGTTAGCGCGCTGCCGCGCCATCTGCCTACCTGCCTGCCTGCCAGCCTGCTTGCCTGCCTGCCTGCCTGTCTGCCTGTCTGCCTGCCTGCCTGCCAGCCTGCCGGCCTGCTTGCCTGCCTGCCTGTCTACCTGTCTGCCTGCCTACCTGCCTGCCTGCCTGTCTGCCTGCCGCGCCTGCTCTGCTAGGCTACTGCTACGGGTACTGGCGGTGGCCAGATGCAGCTCCAGCGACGTCCGCGCGAGTCTCTCACGCCCCAGCAGCTTCGTGAGTGGTACGCTAGTTGGGGTTGTGGCGGTAGTCGTCGTAGCTGTCGCCCTAGAGCTGGTCAGTTGGGAGCGTCTGGCGGTGGCCGGCTGAAGCTGCAGCTGCGTCCACGCGAGACACTTACGTCCCAGCAGCTTCACGAGTGGACGCTCCGAGTAGAGGGTCTTTGAGTACCGTTCGCTGCCCGTACGTCATTCGCACAGGAGATCGGACGGGTCAGACTTGTGGGACGCTTAGTCACACCCAGTCCCGCTGCTTCGCCCGTCTGAGTGACGCCTGGCGTACCGAGTTTGGCGAAGAGGCTGAGCTCCCCGACTGGGTGGAGCTGCTTGGGCAGAGGGTAGATATATTTTCTCTTGACTATGATGCTATTCTCACTGCTATGTATGCCTTGTCTGTTGATGCTGAGGGTGACTGCTACTTGTGTGTGCCGCCGGATCCTGGTATAACCCCTGGTATAGCCCCTGCAGCACTAGCTGCTTGTGAGTCTGCTC